ATATATATTGAGAAATAATTTTAATTTTTATTGAATTAATTAAATTCTTTGCATGAAATTTTTAATGATTAGAGTATGTATATCAATAATTAGATGATACAATATGTTTTCAGGAACCCTATCACAAAACGCTTTACACCAAAGGAATATACTACGGTGAACAAACTTCCGAATTAACAATGTTCTTCGTTTTAGGAACAAAATCGTTAGCCGAACAAGTAAAAAAATGGCCAAATTTTGAGAAGTGAGTTCTATAAATACTTTAGTAAGTTGAAAAAGTTTTCAGTTTAATATATAATAGAAACAATTTTGTTGTTGGTCAAATTTACTTAAATTTTTCCATATATTACGGAGGTACTACCATATGTTAATTTTAGATCGATATAAGACTTGGTATATATTATGTAGAGAGATGAGATAGACCCCTCTGACTTATTGCAAGGGTTAAAGGTGTTATTATGAAGATAGCTTGTCAGGATTGAAAGTCTAGAATACACATATATTTAATTACACATAAACGCACTTAACATATGGTTTCACAATGACATAATCATAGCCATAGGAAAACGTAAACATAAGACATACAAAGACATAAAAAGGACTTAAGACATAAGACGTAATGATACTTAATAAGACCACATAAGATTCCATAAAACTACATAAGACTACATAAGACTATCATAAGACTATCATAAGACTATCATAAGACTATCATAAGACCTATTAACCAAGCAACCATAAGAACTACTATAAGGATACCATAAAACTACTCTTTTCCTTTTTTTCCGTTCTTATATCCTATGCATCGGTCACACCCTCGATGGAAGGGGAAAGGAGACGCAGGGCGGTCCTAGTCCTTTCTCGATCCATCATTGGTCATCAACCGTCTTTCTCCTAAACATAAGTGGCGCCTTAGAGTGGGAGTACGTCCAAAGGTTTAGTTCTCAGAATCTCCCAGTCTAAACCACCACGTGTTATATGTTTAGAAACAAATGCCCGACCCTTTCTCTTCATAGTCCAGGCAATAAAAGGGCCAAGTGCCAAATTTTTGACCACTTTGCCAGAAACTTGATATAATGGTAATTCGACGACGCTGAATCGAATGGTGCTAATTTTTTTGCAATTGGGCCAGGAGATCTTTGAGAAAAAGGGTAAAAAAGGGTAAAAAACGGCCGTATCTTAGAATCTAGGCATTTA